GACCGTCTTCTCTATGGAAAATATCTCCGCCTAAAAGACACGGCAGTTAATAGGCAGGCGGTATGTTTGCCTTGTTTCAAGGTCCTTGAAGTACAGAACCGAGCCGACTTCTGTTTTCACCTTTGAGCCATCGGTGTAAATGGAAATACCATCATTTACCGACAGGAATCTTTTTGATACGGCTGCCTGCCTGCCCAAAGTAGGTTTGTAGACAACCTCCTCTACCTTACCAGTAACATTCGTAGATCGCCGAATCTGGAGTTGAAAATGACCTTCTCGCCCATCCTCTACCGTCGAAACTGTGTATCCGATCCCCTGCACTATAACATCATTCGCCTCGGACCGTAGACGATTACATTGCCAAACCAAAAGTAGGTCGCAGTACATTAAAATATGGATATTAACTTCAATTAGGACACGATTGTGTCTAAAAGTGAAGTGATAAAGTCGATTTGTGACCTAAAAAACTACTGAAGAGTATGAATGATATGTAATAAGATATGAAAGAAATTTGTAGCTGTCAAATGGGAAAATGTGGTAATATCTTAAGAGATAATAATTAACGGCTGTATTACTGGCACAGCAAATTACTTACATATAAGTATGTATGTATATGTATGAGAACAAATTTGTGTACACAAGTATGGGCATCAGTATTTGTTTCTTTTCGCAAGGCATTATATGTACATACATTATACATATGCCTATATATACATACGTAAATTTAAATTTATCTGACTGAATAGTTTCTTTCACAATTTTTGAATTTTTAATGTATGTAGGTACACAAATAGAGGTTAAATCCAAACATGTCAAAATGCCAGAGAGTTACTTATTTACAGGATTAACGGTCGCAGTTGTCATTGTTGTTGTTCTGTTTTTGCAAGATTTATTTAACTTATAAACGAATGCCAAGCAAACAACATGGCAACTCCGCGCAAAGTGAGGTCAGAGGCAAAGAGAATGAATGAATCGATCTTGTTGCACTCACGAAACCGCTAAACATACATACATACATACATACATACATACATAAGCGTGCTGGTAACCGTTGCTTTTACTTGGCATAGAAGCAAGCTCTGGCGACAAAAATAAATAACATTCATTGTCCGCCTAATTCGCGAAATCTGCAATTAAAATAAAAATGCACTTAGCAACAAGGAAGGCGAATTGCGCTGCAGCTCGTAGGTGCATGCAACACCAAAACAATTAAAATACGAAAATAAGACACGTAAACAAATTACCAAATGCCAACACCAAAAATACTCGTAAATGGCATAACCAATGGCCACCGCCAAGTACATACATATGTATGTACACTTTGTGGTCGATAAAGCCGACAGCTGAGGCGATTGTATGTAAACGTGAATCGCGTTGAAGTTGCAACATATTCATCCAATACATTCAACGATAACACACAGCTTCAGAAAATGCAGCCAGATCGAGCGGTGATTGCTGTGACTACTCACCAACCAGTCAACCGGACAACCGGCTGAGCAGACTTGAAGCAGTCAAAAGCCAGTTAAGTAGTACATAGTTTGTTTGTGAGACTCAACTGGCCGCAGCTACAGTATATCAAGTTTTTGAATGGAAACGATCAATTGTACAAGAACAGTGTTTAATTTCGCGTTCGTTCATCGAAAATATCGTTATTAAGAATGTTGATTAATACAAGTTTTTCTATCATATTACATAGAGTTTTAATAAAATTTTAAAAATTTTAATGAGCGGCCTTTCAAATCATCTTCATGCCGTCACCATTTAATTTCATATCGTTTGGTGCTGGCCAATGTTGAACGATATGGTAGGACAAAATTTATTGCCAGTGTATATTCGCCTTTGGATTTTAGGGCAGATATTGTAATTGGTTCTCAAGTAGCTGAGGTCCTCTTTAAATAGTAGCATTTAATATTGTATCCGTCAATGACGTGAATGCCTAGACTGCACGGTCTGACTTTTTCTTTTATATTTGGAAACAGATTCTATGTAAATCCTTCTTTGGGGTATAAAAAAAACAAGTGGTGAATGAGTGATTGTGGCAGCTCAAGCTCTGAGCAGAACACAGAAACGTGCACTTCCAAACGAACATTTGCAGAGCGTCCTCTGTCTTGTGAACAGCTGGCCGTGTTAGAGTGAACTCTAGGTCAACTCCGCCAAAACCGAAAAGGTACCTACTATTCACCAGGAAACGTAACATGCCGTCTTTTCAGCCTCCGTTCTCTAAATGTTGTGAGGCTTAAACTCTCCAACGAGATCAAATACTTCGGTATATTTCGTAACAGGAAATTTGACTCGAAACAGAAACGCACGGAGCGATCCAGGAAGTCCATAGTCACCCTTTACGCCTTTAAGGCACCGCTGGCGAAGCGACGGAGTATGAAGCTACACATAATACGCTACATGTGCACGGCGTTTTTACGAACCATAATTTTTTTATGAAATCACCGTGTGTTAAGTCCGTCTTTTCAGGATTTCCATTAAGTCCCACCTCCTAGGCCCAGATAATGTCCTGCCCGATATTTTAGGCTTAGCCTTTCACAACATTCGCTCGATAGGGCCTCTATGGCTCGATGCTCAGAAGGCTGATTCCGCGGTCGTTGGCGCATTTAGCAGACTAGCCTTTGTTGTGGCTTAGGCAAGGCAATCTTACAGTTAAGTCTAGAGGTGTGCTCTTGTAAACGCATACGTTATCGCCCGTTTTCAGCTGGTGAACAGACATGATGCAAGGCTCCAGACGGACATAGGACATATAAAGGACATATTCTAATCTAAATCTGCGCTTTCTTTGAAAGCATACATGTCTCTCTGAGCACAATCGCTAACCGGTGAGGCAGTTTCGGCTCCATTTTCCAAAAACCGCGTTGCAAAGCTTAGTAACCACTGAACACGAAGAGGTCGATTGGATGGCGTTCCTGGCCCACAATAGGCAGTAAGCTGCTTCAGCGATTTGTTAAACATCCAGGAAAGATTCCCTTTAGAGGATGCTCACCTATATAAAGAATTGGAATCATCGGAGAAATGATGTCGCCCAGAAAAAAAAAACAACGAAATTCGCTTGTGTAGTACTTCCTATCTGACGTATCAAGCCTCTCAGTTCACTGTGCGACATACGGTTATCATTGTTGCTGTTATTGTGTTACATGTACGTGATTGATTTGTGGCAATTGCAATGCTGCTGCTTTTATTTGCTGCACTGTTGCTAGTTGCAATAGTGAGTGTTAGCGCGAATTGTAATTGCCAGCAAAATGTTGTTTATCAACAACAACTGTGTTTGCTTGTAATTATGTATATTCCCCAACCAATATGGTAATGTTGTTGTTAATGGTGATTCTAAAAATAAACCGAACCTACTATTTTTGTGTTTTTTACCATTTGCAGTTGCAATGTTGTTTACTTCGTTTTCCCCCATACCTCTCGTAGAGCAGCTCTCTCTTCCTCTTGGTCTTGTTTTTCTGTTGCAGTATTCAAGATAAAAATACTCTGAAACGGCAACCAGTTTTAGCAAAGCTTCGATGCAATTTATTTAACAACGTGACGTTGCTGGGCCCTGTTGTGATTGTTTACTGGCATCTTTTGTTTTTGTATTTTTCTTATGATCATTGATTTGTTGTTGACAACTGTTGATCGGAACAAAAGTTGTAAATA